AGACATAACCTTTGAGGATTTTGTAAGGTCATAACAATCATTTACATTCACAGAATTTCTGTATCTAAGATTAACACACCTGCAATGAGAAGGGCACAGTTGTTACACTGACCCATAACCATTTCCCATATATCCCAGCCCACATTAGCCCATTTTAAAGCTTTGTTTATGTGTATGTAAACCCCGACATTAATGTTTTGTATTCTGAAAATTTCACCCGCACAGCGCCAGTCACTTAATTGCACTAATTATTATTCACACATTAGCGCCTATTAGTCAGCATGGGTTTCTTTCCATTTTTTTAAAAATGTTTTAGCCAGCATTCAGATTGCACTTACTTGGCAGAAATGACTTGTTATAGTGGTTTTCAAAATCTGGCAGTAAGCCTAAGGAGAGACCTCTTTGGCTGTTTGAATTTCCTGTTCCAGTCATCATCACAGATCTAAAGAGACAATCTTTTACACTCATTGAAACTTTATGGGGAAATGGTGAAGAGGAACTTCAGAAGGTCCCCAAATTCTATCGCCAAAGTAATGGAGAATATTCTTCTAGCACACTGGGGTTCAATTATATTGTGTTTGATATGTAATTACTGGTGGGAAATTCATCCTTTATAAACTGTTATAGATTTTTTGTTTTCACTCAGTGTTATTTCATAGAAATCTTAGAAAGGAAACATTTAAGCATACTCAGGGGCATGATCTGCCTAAATTCGACCCCAGTTTAACATATATTCAGATAGAACATTGAATTTGTCTATAATGAAAGATTGAGATTACTGTAAGTTAAGAATTTGGACACACATAGTAATAATGAAGTTGAAGTTAATTTTAAATATTATATATAGCTTGCTGAGGATACTAACTTAAGAACTGGCATTGACAGACAGGCTATTGCATTAATTACTATTTCCTGAACAATAATAGAGGACAATCTATTTGTTTTCCCCTAAACCCTATTAATTAAAAAAATTTCCTTTGGTCATTTAAAACTCTCATTTTATGGACTGAATTCCCAGAAGGAAACCACAGATTTGTAGACCACAGTCTACAAAGCAGTAAAACAAACCATCACATTCTCCCATATGCTCAGCTTGGTTGACAAGCTCGATTAACACTACGTCTTGCAGAACCTCAGAGTTTGAGGGAACTCTAAAGAAAGTGCCAGTAGAGAAGGAGAGGTGGAAGATTCATGAGTGTCTTAGTCCACTCAGGCAGCTATAACAAAGTACCATAGCATGGGTGGCTTATAGACAACAGAAGTTGGTTGCTTACAGTTCTGGAGGCTGGAAGTCTGAGTCCAGGGTGCCCGTGTGGCTGGATTCTGGTGAGAGCCCTCTTCTGAGCTGCAGAATTCCTCCTCCTCCGTGTATCCTCATATGATGGAGAAAGGACAAGAGAGCTCTTCAGCGTTCCTTTTATGAGAGTCCAGTCCCGCTTATGAGTGCTCTGCCCTCATGAACTAATTACCCCCCAAAAGGTCCACTTTCATCTCTCTGACATTGGGGGTCAGGGTTTTGACTGAACTTCGGGGAGACACAAACATTCAGTCCATTGCACGGAAGAGGAGGAAGCCGTTCTCTGACACCCTTTCCCCTCAGTTCCTTACCATGAACTGGAAGTCAAAGGCCATCTGTAAGTCTCTGCTGGCTGGTCAAGCTGACTTTGGGTTTCGATCCTTAGCTCATGGTTCCTGGGTTAACTCCATTTAAAATAAAAATTTAAGTTCATCTCTTCAAAATACACTATGGCTTCTGGAACCCTTGTTCCAAGGCAAACAGTTCAAAAGTATCCCAAAAGGATTAAAATGGAAATCTCTGGGCTCTCTGGAAGCCGGAGAGAAGAGTGTGGTGCAAAGGCTTCAGGGAACCCAGACAGTAGCTGTCATAGGACTGTCAGTATAATGCAGGGGAAGTGAACTAAAAGAGTTAGCGGGTAAAAGCCAAATCAAAGGCAAGGCCCAGTTAGTCCCCGTAGACAAAGGAACCAGTAAATGGGAACATGAAAGAAAGAACTGGGAGTCACTTGGATTTGTTGACATTAAATAAAAACAAGGTGACAACACAGAGAGGATTAAGGTCAAGCCAGAGCCTCTGCAAGGACTGTTGATTCAAGAAGTTAGGAGAACCAAGGAGCAGCTGAAATGCCCTTCTGATGTGGTAACCAGGGGCTATACCTGATCTTAAAGGATTCTGTAGACAAAGAAAGGCACTGGGAAAGAGTGAGAGGTTAGCAAGGGCACCACACAAAGCTCTTTCTGTTACCTCACACCTGGGTGAGAATTCTTCTGGCTCTCTACCTCCATGGCACTTGACCTGTCCTCTCTGAGGACCTGTGGTCATCCACACACTTGTTTCCCCTTGTCCCTCCTTACACGTTAAGCCCTAGAGGTCCAGACTATGCATTAACTCTGCAGTTCCTAGTGCACTGTTTTATAAAGTTTAAGTCCAAATGAAACTATTGATATGAACGAGATATAAATGGACCAAATGATAAATATGTCCACCTCTCTGGGCTGTGTTTCATTTCACACGGTATTTGTTAGACTTGTCTTCGGCTGTTTAATTCAGTTGCTTGGGGTGTGATGAAAATGATGCTGAGGTCACAAGTTCAGTCCTTGTGTGAGCAGCTTGCTGAGCTCTATTTTATGGCTACTGAGTCCACTGACCAGCTGTCTTAAAAATGCATGACACTGGCCATCAGAGGATGAGAAAAGATATGGGGGATCATAGGAACCTCATCACCTCGGATAACAATATAGCTCAGAGTGCTTGACTCATAATAATCGGTCTTCGCACATAGGGCCCTGCTGTTTCCTTCAGGAATACTGCTTAAAATATTACCATACTATCCTTTCAGAAGTCCAGGAAGGCACGAGCCACAAATAGAATTAGGCAGCACAGTGGAAAGAGTAGGAAAGCCATCAGAGAGACTGAGGCTCGAATATCATCAACGACACTTATGGCTAATACAGTCCCTCGGACAAGTATTTAGTCTTTCTGAGCCCTAATTTCACTATCCATAAAAACTTACTTTATAGGACTGTTGTGAAAATTAGAGGAGATAATGTTTATGTCACAAGTAAATGCTTAGTAAGTGTTGGCTGTTAGAATTTAGAATTGCAAGTAGCCTGGGAGAGGACGGCTGGCTACATTTGAGAATAGCAGGGATGTAAGAATCAAAGTTATCGAGGCTGTCAAGGATCTCAGTGAGATACCCAAGCCTGAGTTTTACAGATAAGAAACTGAAGAAGAATCTCAGGTTAAAGTGCCTTGCTTGGTAGTCACAAACGGGCAGAGCTGAGACTTGAACCTCCATTTCTGTGTCCAGCGTCACTTCTTCATGCTCGCAGTACGAGGCAGTCTGAATTCCAATGAGGAATGGGACATTTAGAAGACTTCAGTAAGTTCTCTAGTGAGCGCAAAAAACACTATAACTTGGTTCCTTAACTTAAGCAATGCTTATCCCATGCCCAACACTGTCCCAGGAATTGGGATGCTTGAGATTTATCAAGATAAACATAAAACGGGCCCTACCCATATGAGGACAAAACTCCAGAGAAAGATCACCAAGTGAACAAATGCATACAATTCAGGGCAGCAAAAGCCCGAGGAAGGCTGTGCACTGAAAGAAGTCCTGGAACTTCCCAGGGAGAGGGACTGAGCTTCTGCCTCCGTCCGAGCAGCTGCATTATGCTCTGCCAGTGCTATCAGTTCTCCCTTCCCCTCGTACATGTGCCCATAGAAACGACTGTCAAAGAATATGTTAAGAAAAGCTCACTCATCTTTTTACTACGTATGGTTGCTCTATGACCATTTGGTAGTAGGATGTGGACTTGAGTTTCAAACAGAAAATGAAAAATCTTAAGTTTACTTATGTGGTTTTTTGACATCCTGAGTTGCTTGGTAATAACAGAAATTCTATTTTTTTCACTGTTTATATTAGTCTCACCCTTGAAAGGAGTGGGGCACTTACAGCCATCTTTGGTCACTGTGTATGCCCTGCCTGCTCTTGGGGCTTATTCTCATGCAGTCCCTAGTAATAGGAAACCTTCATTCAGGAAAAGACTGCCAGAATCATTGTTCCACTCCTTTTGTTTGGAGGAAACAGTGCTCAGGTAATATTTCACTTGGTTGAAGAGTAACTTTGCTACATATAAAAATAGATCTACATAGTAAACAATTTTATGGTTACTAGGGAAAAGGGGTGGGAAGGGATAAATTTGGGAGTCTGAGATTTACAAATATAAGCCACTATATATAAAAATAGATTTAAAAAATTAGTTTCTGCTGTATAGCACAGGGAACTATGTCCAATACCTTTAATGAAAAAATATGAAAACAAATATATGTTTGTGTATGTATGCCTTGGACATTGTGCTGTACACAAGAAATTGACACACTGTAATTGATGGTACTTCAATAAAAAAAAATGGATCTTGTCGAATATTTCCTTAGTATCATCTTCTGTGTGCTACTTTCGGTGATCTTAGGCCATGCTCTTTGTTGACTGGCTTTGATTCATGGGTGTGCTCTTTGTTCAACGGAATTATCTCTTGATCAAAAATTAATACTGACAAAAATAATTTGATGGATGGTCTAGTGCTGTTAAAATTCAAAAGAAGCAAGAATTTGTATTGTATTTTGAGATTACAGTGAATTAATCTAATTTGAAAAAAGGATAAATTTTCAATTAAAAAATTAATTAAATAGGGCCCCTAAAGTTCAATAGAAGTAAAACAAGATGATACTGCTAAAAAGAGTCTTATTTGGTTTTTAGAAAAAGAACAAGGAGTGGGAAGAAAATATTATTTTTCTTGAGACAACAAAAAGATCTATTTTGTCAAATGTCAAAAATAACCTCTCCTGCCAAAAAACCACAAAAAACAAAACAAAACAAAAAAACCCCACCATCTTCAATTTCTTTAACCAAACTGAGCAGGTATCATGGTTTTGCAGCTTTACATGAGGTTAACGTAAAGGCTGTGTTCATTTCACTTACTGTATAACTAGGATTTGAGTCCAAATCCCGGAGTGCATATGACAGGGATTTTCTTAAGGCAACTACCTGCTCTTCTCAAAATGGTCTTCTTATTTCTTGTGTTTCTAAAATCAGAAAAGTGAGTATAAACAAACAATAGGTGACCTTTGTGAGTAAAACATCTGAGCATAGAAAGATTAATCGACCTCCATCAGCCAGTCATTAAATCAAATAGGAGCTTTTCTTGTACTTTTAAACCTCCGATTTACAGTCAGGCAAATTGTGTAAAAAGGCTGGTAATACAGTGACGCCCAATGCCACTGGGCTTTAGAAAGCTGACAGTTCCTGTAAAATAGTCATTAAACAACCTCTAGAAGAGACTCATCAGCAGATGCCCCCAGGTGAAGGAGAGAGAAAGCTGAGAGAATGAAGGAGAATCTAACATCTTAGCATGACTGAATTAAACAGAGCATATTATGCTGATTTTCAGAGTCAGCCCAGTAATTTAATTTTCAGAGCAGTTCCTTTGATTGCAGCAACCATTTTATGAAACATTAATAAAACTTTGTGTGTGTGTGTGTGTGTGTATGTAACACACATCTCTTTTCCATTTCATTAAGAAAAAGGAGTCAACATAGTCAAATTAGTTCTGTAAATGCCAAAAATAAAAAGATTTTTGTTGTTATTTTTGAAAAGCAAAGGAGCAGAAGAATATAGCTCCCACTGTGTTATTCTGCAGTGAGCACAGAACAGGGAGCAGGAAATAAAGTACATAAAGTTATTACATGTTAGGCCGTGGGATTTTACATGAAGACTCTGAGCTAAATCACTACTGTAATGTGTAATCCAAATGTGATTTTGTACCTCCTGTATAATGATGTCTGTTGTACATCCAAATTAATTGTTGTGGAATAGATATTGCCTTGTATCCTAAGTGTATATCAAAGACATCTAAGATAATAGATATGCTTGGATCAAGATACCCAGTGAAGAGTTGTTTTTAATGATTTTTGTTTTACATTTTGAGTAACAGAATATTCACAAATATGAATGTTTTAAAGAAGGAAGGACCTTTAATAATTAATATAGATCTGCCTCACTTTACAGAATATGTATGTTCCTGAAATGTGCATCATAAAACTATTTTCTTTGCAAGTTAACTTATATTTTCTCATTTATTTCCCTCATAAAACTGAAGATCCATTCTCACTGAAGTAATTTTTGGCTCAAAGACAATGATCACATTTAAGAATGAATCAACCCTTTTAAATCAGTGGTAAATTTTATATTCAAATCTAGTAATTATCCTTAGTCTGAGCTTTTGGGTTATAACTCTCTCTTTTCTTCCATGACACAGACCTTATTTTAACCTTCTGGTGAGATACCTGGCATTCCCCACTCCTCTGTATTTTTTTTTTAAAGAAATAAGCCTATATCAATGATAAATAAACAAATCAGAATATGCCTTTAAAGCACCATATAAATAAAAATAAAACTTTTGTACATGAATAGTAAAAAATGTAGTTACACTGCTAGTCACAGCAAGGACATGAGAAAAGTCACAGAGGGGCAGCTCTGGAGGACATTGGGGTCCCAGAGACCTAGGGTCACTGTGGATGTTGCAGGTGACTCACCAAAGGCTTAGCTAGGTCATCTGGTCTCTCAGGGATTTGGTTTCCTCATCCTTAAAATGAAGAGGCCACATAAAGGGTGAAATGTTTTTTTCTGTCATTATAGCTTTGGGATTCCAATAAGGGTGTTCTCTCTACATAGGCCCAGGTAATACTTTCTCTGATATTTTACATGCTTATTAATAATGATATCTTTGTTGATCTTGGCAGTCCTTCCTCACAGTAAGATAGGTACCACTAAAAAGACCATGGCCACATACCCAAGAAAGCCGTTTCCCAAATGGTGTTTGTTTAATGATTATTCCTATATTTTATTTCCAATTTTTGATGCTTATGGGTTTTCCCAGTTCTTCTATTAAATTATAAATTTGTAATTACTTCTGGTCCTGAATTCACAACTTGGACCTTGATATTTGTTTGTATAGTTGAGACTCAAAATAATATCTAGTTAGCAAGCATAGGATTCAAAGTCTCTTGGGTATTACTACTGTATATAAAAGCTTGAAAGGAGTCTCAGAATTTGTTTCATCTCATTGCATCAAACACGTCAATTAACTCTTTAAGTTCTATATTCTTATAAAATGAATAACCTGTTGGGAAAACCATTAAGATTCACATTTAAGCCCACACCTTAGGCACTTGTTAATCACCAACTGTAAAATACCCATAAGATTAAGCACCACGCATTCATGGAAGGAAGGAAATGAAAATCAGTTGTTTAACAGACTTTCATCTGGGAGAGATTCTATTAAGAGCCTCTTTCCTATATGCCAAGATATGAATGCTTGAGTGTAATTCAATTTTGTACAAAAGAAAATTCCATTCAAATCTAAAGATAGAATATTTCTATTCCAAGTTACTTTCCACTGAATTACTGAGAAGAATTGAACGATAGCAATCCCAAATCCTAAATGTATGAAACAAGTCTTCAAATAGTTGAAAAATAACATTTGCAAATTCTTGGGCCATCGCTGACAGCAGAATAAGGCGACTATTCAGCGGGTTAAGGTTAATTCCATGGTGTGTAGGAGGGATACAGTCAACTTGAATATTGGTAGCAAACCTTCTGGGTGCGCGTGGCCATTTTCCTGTGATTCCTTTAAAAGGGAAGCACAGTGTGGAACCCCAGATGCCAGCCCTAAGTTACACAATCTACTGGGCTACCCTTTTTTCAAAAGTTTAATTTCCATTGTTAGTCCCATGAAGAACAGCCCTGCCCTCTCTATTTCCTTGCAGAGCTGCTTTTGATGGAAAACTTTGTGGATGTTTGTGATATTGCTCAGAGCCCATTGGCAGATGAGCATCTCTTGCTGTGGCCTCCATCATTATTTGCCTGTCTTGTCTATTAACGAGCACTATCATCCCATCGTGGGATGACAGCTGCAACACGTACTCAGGCGCAATAAACAGCTAAATGAGGCGCACAGCAATTTCACTTGTCACCAGCGCCCTCGGCACGACTGGCTGCACAGCTTGATGCATAAATTCATGAGGCTGTTGCATATGATGGAGTATGCTTGGCTGAAAGAGGTGATGGATAGCAGGGCAGCTAAAAATGGCCATCACCTTGACTCTGTCAGGACATTTTTTAAAACTACCCCATCAGCTTTCTTGTATTCAATGCACTATCATAGCACAGAAGACTCTCAGGTACTGATCTGATACTTTTCTTCAATAAAGACTTTTGGGGAGTTTTCCTTAAAAAGAGGTACCATGAACTGAGGTGGGTTTCTCTTATTCATCACTAGCTCTGATGCTGCTAGATTAACTTAGGTTTAAGAGAAGAATTTTCTACAGAAAAGTCTCAAAAATCAATTTAAGTCTCAATAATGGGGAGGGAGGAACAATGTGAGGTTTTAAAAACATTTCTGAATCAGACAGTAGAGCAGCGGATTGGCTAACGAGATATGAGGAATTTGAAAATAAACATAAGAATATTCAAACACATAAATCCAGGGATAGAACTTACATACAACTCATTATGACACTGAATTAAATTCCAGGGCACATCATTACATCAGTGTTGGCAATGCATTTTCTAATTGGTACACAAAACACAAGTAAGGATTAATACTTTATAGAAGTGCCTTCATCAAAGAAGCACTGCAGTGGGGACTTTAAAAATAACCAATGATACAGTGCATTCATTTCACTAAAAATATCTCTTTAACCTCTTACTTACTCTGAATTTAAGCCAGACTTAACCACCATAGGCAGGGCCTGGGGTGTCCCACTGAAATGGGCTATGTATCCTCCATCTATGTTAGTGGAAGTCATCTAAGGAAGACAAATATAAAGGCAACAAAATCAATGAGGCAGTTTCCTGCAAAGCTTTATGCATTAATCTCTATCACACAGAGATATATACACACACCAGTGTAAGAGAAGGAAGTCACTTGTTCTCTAATAAAAGAGAAAACCCTTGATAATAAGCAATTAATAAAGTTGTCACGATTAGTTATGCAACTATGAATCAACACGCACAGTAAAAATGACCACTTTCTATAGACATAAAATATCTATGATTCAATCACAGTGAAAATAGTCATTAATATGGGTGGTTACGAATGATTCTTATAGCTACTTTCCTTCTCTTCCTTTTCTAATAAATTAGGGGCTCCTGAGTGAGAGTTACTCTAACAATTCAGACAAATATATGCTAGATTAGACAGCAAATTTATTAGCCATTTCCCCTTTTGTCCTTTTGTTCTTCTCTTCCCATAGCCAAACTCATGTTTCTTAAACTCACCTGTCCAAAAATCCCCTAAATTTAGCAAAAGTATTTTTAAAATAAAGCTAGAGAAATGTGAAATCTTTGGGGGTAAGTTTCAGTATTAATGTGAATCCGAAGTGCCATTCCAAAGGATGAAAAAGATATCCAAGTACTTAGGAGGAAAATACTTTTACATTGTTGGAGGAGAAGAGGCCTTTTAAAAAAGATAGTTAGATGGCATGATATCCAGTGATAGCCTTAAGATACCACTTTAATAACTAGTCACCTGGCAAGTCCAGGAGTGGGTGGCTCTGATGTAGGTAAGGAGGCATGGACACTGGCCATTAGTGGGGAGGGCGATGGAGAACAAAAACTTTGAAAGAATAGGGAAGATTAAGAAGATCCCCTACCAATAGGACTAGAATTAGAGGACACTGTGAACCAACAGGGGTCAAGCTAACAGTGTGCATTGTGTGCCTACTTTAAGCCAAGCACTGCAAGATCAGGAATAGGGTGAGATAAATGAGATACTCTACCTAAGTACAAAACTTAAGGGAGTACAAAAAAACTCAATAATCAACATAAGTGACAATTCAATACAATATGTCTTAAAATAGAAATTAATGCAAAATATTCATGATTGCATTCGTTCTATTGCTGCATAAAAATTACTGCAAACTTAATGGCTTAAAACAATACCCATTTATTATCTCAGTTTCTGTGGGTCAGAAGCCTGTGATGGCTCGCCTGGGTCAACTTAGAACCTTACAAGGATGAAATCAAATTATAGCTCACAGTCCTCTTCCAAGCTCCTTTCTGTTAATAGCAGAAGTCAATTCTTTGTGGTTCTAAAACTGAGGACTCCACCTCCTTGCTGTCTGCACCTGCTGATCATGCTCATTCCTCATAGGTGCTCCCCAGTCTTCGCCTGTGGCTTTCTCCTTCAATGCAGTCGCGACAAATTGAATCCTACCCGTGCTTGGAAACTTCCTGACTTCTGGCTTTTTTTTTTTTTTTTTTTTTTTTTGCCATCAGCCAGAGAAAGCTCTCTGCTTTTAAAGGTTTGTGTGATTAGATCAAGTTCTCCCAGGTAAGCTTCCTATCTTAAGGCCAACTGTGGCATACAACACAACACAACACAGAAACATAACATAACATACAATAACATGATCACGAGAATGACAGCTCATCATGTTCACAGGTTCTGGGGATTAGGGAAGGACATCTTTGGGCAGTTATTTTAGATTCTGGAAGAATAAAATATCAAACTTTTAAATAAAGACAGGATTTAGCCCTGCCCTTGCATGACCCTGATTCACTTCTTCACCCAAGCCCTAACCATGTTTCTGATAAAACCTTTTTTTTTTAACAAAAACAGGAAGCTGGTCTATGAGTCGTAATTTCCCACTTTGATTTTTTTAACTTGATTAAAATACTTTGTATTTATTGGTGCCACTCTCTTCTTAAATTTTGTACCCACAGTGAATGCCTCCATCATCTCACACTAGTCTCAGCCCTTTGTGTGTCACCTCCACCTTCTCATTTAATTTTCCTCACAGCCTTGTAAGGTGGGCCTGGCCAGTCCCTATCATACATGGGGACACAGAGGAGGCATGGAATTTGTTCACATTCACACAGGTGTTAAAACACAGAGCTGGGATCCTAACTCAGATTCACCTGTCTCCAGAAACCAAGCTTTGCCAGTACACTCGGGGCTTACTAGGAAGAACCAATGAGCAGAGGCTATGTCAGAAACTCAGGTCATGGATTCAGAATGCTTTACTCAGCATTCCCACACTATTCACTTAAATTGTTAAACCTGTTTAAGCCTCAGGTTGAGATAATAAGAGGCACCTTTTACAGTTTATGGAAGGTGTAAGTGACAAAACTATACATTCTTTAACATTAGGGACGTCTTTAATTTTATATATAGCTAGCATGCAATAGCTCTGTGAGAGAATTAAGATTGAAGGAATGAATGAGATAAAATAATATAAAAACTCTATGATTGCTATGATCTATAAAGTACCATACACATAAGATATGGCTTCTGCAGAAACATTAGATGCCTCAGTTAGGGAAATATAAAATTTCTAAAATGTCTTGTGGCATTATCTCCTATAATTAGTTTCCTTAATATAATAATTAGTTGAGAGCAAAAGCCTAGATTGCAGTATCAGGCAAACACATTGATTTAAGGTTGTTCTCCTGTGCTCTCTAAATTGAGCCATGTGGTGACTAGCACCTGCTATAAAAATGGAAACCAAAAAAGAAAAAAACATCCCTCAGTGATAAATTAGCTTTTATTTAATATCAGAATGTAGGTTTCATTGCACTGTGGTCTGTGAATAACAGGCAACCACCAACTGCAGTTTAGCCAAGGAAAGGAAAAAACAGAGAAAGAGAAAGAAGGAAGGAGGTGGGGAAGGATGGAGGGAGGCAGGCAGGGAGAGAGGGAGAGAAAAAGGAAAGAAGACAGAAAGAAAGACAGAAAGAAAGACAGAAAGAAAGACAGAAAGAAAGAAAGAAAGAAAGAAAGAAAGAAAGAAAGAAAGGAAAGAAAGAAAGGAAAGAAAAGAAAGAAAGGAAAGGAAAGGAAGGAAGGAAGGAAGAAAAAGAAAAGAAAAGAAAAGAAAGAAAGAAGGAAGGAAGAAAGGAAGGAAAGAAAGAAAGAGACAAAGAAAGAAAGAAAGACAAAGAAAGAAAGAGAAAGAAAAAATGAAGGAAGGAAGGAAGAAAGAAAAGAACTTTCCTGGATAACTCAGATAATTAGATAATATGATATTTTGCAATATGTTACCTAGGGTCTTGACCAACTCTATAATTTGAACTTTAAAATCATTTGCATTTATTAAACAAATTACTCAAGAACATTTTTATATTGAAATATGTTTTCTTCTTCTGAAAAAAAAAGTGACAATCTAACCTAAATGAACATCAGCCAAAGCAGAGAGCAAAACTCTGGAGAGGAATCAGGAGCACATTTTATACTGAACTTTTGGCTGAGACAGGGCTCAGCACGGGTGCGCTCCAGATAATAGATTGGAGCTGTGCTTGGCTCTTTATGGGTTTGGCTGATACCTGGCTGTCCAGAGACTTTTTCTTCCTCAGAAAGCCCAAATACCTCTTTTAGAGCAAAATTACCCCAATGCAATTCATTTCTAATAGCTTTATTATGCCGTTTTCTGTTTATCTGTCGCATTACATAGCCACATATAGAGTGAGATATATATATATA